CATAGTCTTGAAAGTACTGATGCATAAGCAGAGATTTATAAGCTGTTGAACTTATAAAAACAGCTATTTCTTCAAATAATAGCACTAACCCTACATTTTCCTTCAAGTGAAAATCCCACTTCATAAAATCAGAGTATCTCCATCTCCATAGACAGCACATTTCAGCCCATAGATAGACTCATAACACATAGTAACAGCCTCATTGTAAGCTTACTATAAAGTTATTTTTTTAAAACTAATACCCTAACTTAGACTAATAAAAGAAGCCAGGCACAGTAACACCTAGATATCTAAGGGCACTGTGTGCTCTAAAGAAGACATGAAGATAAAAAGAAGCTGGGCTGCTCTGCACAGGTCAGACATGGGTACACTGTTAGTAATTTGCTATCTATCGCTCTTGACATCAGAGCCACCCACACAGACACAACTGTTTGATAATGACTGAAGAGTTAACGAGCATCTATCATGCTGTGAGTCTTTTCATTCATCACCCAGCTGATCTGGCAGCTGTAGATCAAGACCAGCTCAACAAGTAAAACACCACGGAGCTCTATAGCATTAGTGGCTGCTTATGGGTGCTGGGAGATGTCACTGTCCCTCTGGACTAGTGTGTGGGCACGGAAAACCCTGCTGCCTCCTTCAGCAGCCTCCCAACTGGGAAGGGTTCAGCCCTGGCCTTCTTCTCACCTTGCCACTCACTCTAATGACACTCACAAACTAATGACAGCAGAGTCAGTGAGCAAAAAGCATCAGTTGCCCTGCCTCTACCTTCCAATGATATTTGGTCTAAAAAAAAGTTTCTGTGCATTTAAACAGTGTTCTGACATTACAGTAATTAGGTTATTCATATCAATTTAGTCCCTTAGATGATTCCCATAATGGCAGGAGAAGTGAATTTCATTTTTTTAAATTTAAATGAAATAAAACACTGGCATTTAAATATGCTTTCAGCTATCAGTTTTGCTGCTGGATGTTATCCATTTTTTTTGACAAATGTTTTAAAAGCATGTGTTTTATGCTGTGCAGAACAGAACTTTGACTTTAACCAAAAAAATACTAATATACTGAAGAATTTATTTAATACTGTGCATATTTTGAGAGTCAAACAGATAACAGTACCATTGAGCAATACTTATTCTTTCCTTGAAACTCTAAGAACTGAAAAGCACTGTATTGCTTGGTTTTTATTATTTTAGCCAGTCAAAAGTGGTTTAAGACTTGATTCTTCCTTTAAAATACATAGGTGTTTATTGCTAAGCATCTTGCAAAATCAGCTACAAATCATGAACACAATGTACTGGTACTCACAATGTTAAAAGGCATGTAAGAAAGTACATTGAAATATCCACTGGACAAACTACAATGTCTTGTCATTATTCACTATGATGACCTAAGATACCTTCCAACTTTGAGTGCAAACCCAACCTGAAATGTATTTACCTTTAAACTTTAGTCAAGTCATTGCCTAAGTTAGCCATTTAGCTGACATTTAGATGCTGCTCATTTCAGCACCAAGCTATATGTGAGACAGACAAAGAAGCCTCAGAAGGTTGCAAGACTGGATGCAGCTAGTGAATGTTTCCGCTAGAATTGAAGCCATTTTTTTTAGAAGTTTACCAAAAAAAAAAAGCAAAAAAACTGCCAACAAAACAAACAAGACCCCCAAAACAACAACCACAACAACAAAACAACAACAACAACAAAAACCAAACGAAAACACCCATAAAGCAAACTAAAGCAAACCAACCAAACGAAAAACCCCACAAACCAAAAAAACCAACCCAACCACTATTACTAACATTTGGGATCATCCACACTTTCTACATTTTCAGACTCAGCACAGCTGGGCCTTTGCATCCCTATGTACAAAGGTGTCACCAATTCCACTGATGTGCTCTTCCTAAGTTTCTTAATGCATTGTACTTCCAAACAGGCTGAAGAAGGTGTAAGATAGGAAAATAGGAAATCAAGTGGTAAGTACTTCTGATGGCATCTGGGGCTGTGACAAAACAGCTGCCTCCAGATACAGCAGGTATTTTAGAGCAAAGCTGCAGTGGTCAGGCAGGAAATCTTGCTTTGCAGAAGTATCAATGAAGTCAGCTTTCACTTCATTCAGATATTAGTCACCACCAAGCAGCAAGTCTTTCCTCTGCCCTTCTCCATTCCAAAAAAAAAAAAACCCCAGTAAAGTCTACTCTTTGTCTCCCTTTCTCTTTGCTTCCTGGGAACCATCCCTCTGGGGGTCCCCATATTAATTTAAATCTTAATGTCATGTACACAGCATGTGCTTTGAATCACATACTCATTTCAGAGCCAACATCACACACTTTTGGTTTGTTTCTGCACTCACTTATAACTTGCTTTAGGTTAGGCTGCAGACTTGCTTCTCACTTTACCCAGCTTTTCACTCCTTCAATAACTATGCTTCATAAATAGATTTCTACACAATCAATACAAAGATGTGCAAATCCTTACTGGAGCTTTTCCTCAGCTATACAGGGTTTGAAGTTTAAACACATCAATTGAATCAGAAAAATTATATAAGCTTTGTATGACCTGTTTCTCTACTGACTTTAACTTTGCAAAGTAATTTATGTCTGCTCCAAATGGGTTCAGAGTATTACCATCCTCATGGGGTAATGATTTATGAAGAGTTAGCACACAGGTGAATATGTGTAGTGCAAGAACTTGCAGATTCAAACCCTTTGTTTCCCTTTTTTGCTATTTAATTATGAGTGAAGTGGAAGCGAAGACTTTAAATAAACCTAGTCAAGTATACAATGCCAAAGAAACACTAGGGGATTAAAGAACTTAGTGTAACTTTCCATGTACTTGGGCTTTGTTGCTTTTTAAAGCCCAAATCATGTAACTTTTTCCACACTCATTTCACTCTACTCTTTTCTCTATTAGATTATTTCCTATTTATTTTGCAATTCTACTTCTCCCCCTGGAATGAATTGCTCGCTAACACATTCTGAAGACAGGCTTAGAATCTAGAGGTTTAGTCTCCCCTATAAGAAATGTTGCCTTTTCCTCAGTTTCCAACCTTCAATGGAAACCACATCTTAGAAGAGCATTCAGTAAGGACTCAAGAAGCTAAACAGTCCAAAGACAATGTTTGTATTCTCTAGCTATTGCTGGTCTCCACATTAATGAAACTGCTGTCGTATCCTGTTGAAAGAATGGGACATGCACCACTGCTCTGCTAAGCTAATAGGCAAATTTTACAGTCATTTGTCTTATAACTAACCAGTAATCAATATCTCAAACTTTTAATAGGATTTTCATATATGTCAAAATAATCCATTGTGAAAGCCTTAAAGAGAGAACAGTTTTTAATAATAAAAAAAAAAATTGAACATGACAAACCACATGGGCAGCATCATTGCATGCTTTATTCCTGCAAGATAAAGGGTTTGCAATTTAGATGATCTGTCTTTAAAATGTTAGGGTGAAAAATAAACCTAAATCACATTTTCTTTAAAAGGAATAAATTAATTTTTACCATCAGTATACAAAATCATATCAATCAATCAATCCAAATTCTCTATTCCATTGCATTATCTAGGACATAAAGCTGTTTTCATGTTAGCCTATGGTTTTAAATTCCAACAAATGTTATTTGGGAAGTAAGATTGAAAGATGAAGCATGGAAGAAAACGACATTTTGTGTACCATATAATTAACAATTACCTACCAGTGGAACTAATCAAATTCTATAAATTTAGACTGCGGATTTATTGACCAATTACCTTTGAGAACATGTTATGCCCCTCATCAGTGATTCAACCTACACTCCAAGTATTAAACAACTTACTATGGATATTACAGGGATCTATTTTATTCAAAGAAACACAACCCAAAGCACGGTAATTAAAAGCTGCTGCAAGTAATAATATTGTTAAAATACTGCCACTGATGTAAATGTATTTTAAAATTATCTAATATTAATTTAAGCTTTTTACTTAAGTTACAAAAACAGTAGTGATTTACTATACCAAATTCAAGCAGATTGAAATTGATGTACTATATTTTACAAAATCACATTTTTTGTAACCTCTGCTTATTACACAGCACAAAAAAAGTGATGAAATACAGCTAGGAACTGGCTAAAAAAACATTCATGCATTAATTTAGGTGCTTCGTTTAGATTTAGAAGAAATTATTTAGAAATACAGTATCTGTGAATTATTTTTCTTTGCATATGAAAATTTGAAAAAAAATCAGCTACTAGTGAATGTTTATCAGAATATATCTCAAAAGAAGAAAGAGAGTGGTAGTACAGTTTCTTTCTGTTCATAAACATGTTCAGTTACATATCACAAAACACTCAGTTACATAAACACATGCTGGTTAAAAGCAATAGGACACCTACTCATGATAACAAAGTATGAGCTTTCTATTATTGTGCCTGAGCATTATTCTGGAATTAATTTCTAATTATGTTTACAGCACTATCCCCAGCTTTGCTAGGAATTACTATTTTCACATTAATGAAAATATTAATACCCTCCTGAGGCTTGAACAAACAGTTGCAAATTTTGCTCAAAAAAAAAAAAAGCTTTTAAATCATACAATACTTTTTTCTCTGCATAAAGCATGTTGATAATTAAAAAAATTCATATTTGATGGGATATAAAGGATTGTATTAAAAAAATATATTGGCTCGTGTTCAATCTTTATTTAGGTTTAAAAACTGCTATCTGTTTCCCAGTTGATGCCACACACCTCTGCAGACTGCTGCGTGCAGCAGGTAAGGAATGAAAGTCCCATTTGTGCAGCTCACAGCTTTTCCCAGGCAGGGCCATCCTACTCTGCTCTCTAATCTCATATATGGGCCCAGGACTACTGACATAAGGAATGCACAAAATATATCATACATGTAGCTAAGCAGGTGGAATGTGGAGCTGAGCCCAATGAAGAGTCAAGTATAGAGTGCTTCAAAAAACAAGCAAACAGCCAAACCTTTGGAGAGCAGCATGAACATCAGCAAGATTCTTACAGCAAAGAGAGGGAAGAAACCTCCTTCAGTAACATGTAATTCCTTGCAGGACCACCACAGGCTGCTGACAAGGCACTATGATCCTGATCCTGAGATGGCCTCTGCACCTGGAAAAGCAGCAGCAGGTTTAGCATAACACCAAAAAGCAGAAAAGTTCAATATTCAAGGGTTCTTGTCTTCTAATCTTTAAATGTAGTCAAAATATCTAAATAACATAATGCTGTGAATAGTAGTACTACTGTAGCTGAACTAGTAATCACTGCTGTATTTTAATCCTACTCCTAATTAAACTAACAATAAATTCTGGGCTTTGTATACCTGACGCATTCCCCTTTTTTTTGCACAAAAAGAGACTTTGAACATAGTAATATATAGATATGGAGAGGATATTTGTCCTGTCCCATTTTCATGCACTACATTTCAATATGCTGTGTACAAATAAGTCCATATGGTCCCAGAATCCACTTGGAAATCACTGCTTCCTTAGAGTGCTCGTTATACCCAGACAAACTGCTTCCTACAAGTATCCTAATCAGGCAGTGGTTATTCAGCCCCCTGATGCCTCTTAAAATACCACTCTGATGTTTAGTAGAAAAGGGAAACTACAGCAAAGCTAGGTCTATTTTTCCTAAGTCGCAGATACAACCAAGGAATTAGATTTCTAAATATTTGTTCTGCTTTTAATGAAAAAGCTCACTTCTTTAAATATAAATTTTCTTCCTCTCCTTATGAAAACGTGCATTGTTTCTGGTAACAAGCAGTTACCAGAAGCAGTGGGAAGTGTACTGCTCAGCATACAATTTTGGCCCCCATGGCCTCAGACTGAAGGTTGCACTTATGTTTTACATGGAGCTGATTTTAGAGAAGGTTTGATGACACTAAGGAGTGAGATGAAATTAACTCACACTGTCATTCTTTTTACCCAAAAGAAGAATTGAGCTATGGGTCCTGCTTTCTGAATGGGAATGGCATACACATTAAAAGTCAGCTTTGGGAATTCCTTTTGCATTATTACCATGAACATAATATCTCCACATCTCTCTTCTGACAATATTGTCAGTAATAGTTTTTCTAGCTATAATTCCTCCTTTGGGAGCCAAGTACACAAAGACGACAACTTTACAATTTAATTAAAGGTAACAATGGAGAAAATATAATAATAAAATGAGTATAACATTTCATAAGAGTCAGATACAAAGGCAGAGGTTGTTGAGCGTCTCACTGATAAAGCACTGAAGCCTTTTTACATTTTACAAATTAGAGAAGCAGTCCCAGGAGTTCACGTTGAAATGTTGAAGGATCCAGCTTGTAGGGTGCCTTTACAGTTTCACTCTGTAAAGAGAGGAAAAGGAGAAAAACATACTGCTTTTACAGCTAAAAAAAGCGTGAGATCCTCCCTATTGGTAGACAGTATTAGAGATATGACAGGATCCATCTATACGAAAAATCTCTTGATAACTCTGCTGAAAGTTTCTGACTTTTGACTGCAATACCAACCAGAAAACAAGACTTTTGGCAACGAGGAAAGGTGCTTGGTCTTTAATGTACATATTCTTTCTTTAACTACAGCTTTGTTGTAGATAAAGAAACTATATTGCATACACTAATATAGATATTCTTTGTTTAACCACAGCTGAGAGACATGAGTCCATGCATACTGTTCCTTTAACAATTACTCAGGAAACCATTTCTCTGAGACAGGTTTGATTTCTGAGGGGAAGGATTGGCAAAGTGAAAAGCTTGGAAAAGTGGAAGGCCCAAAAAAGACTAACATGATAGCCTCAAAGGACAACAGACAATTTAGGGTAGGGCATTCTACAGGAAAAGGTAGCTTAGTTTTGAAATGCAGTTGTCAACAGTAATTTTATACAAAACAAATGGGGACAGGTTAGAGAAGGAGACTGCCCCCTAGGCTTTCTCAAAAGTAAGCAGGAAGTGCATTTACTTGCCATGCAGTTACCTTTCCTACCTCCTTCTCCATGCAGGTACTCCATACACAGCCTTCAGACAGCGTGTTTCAATGTTTTGAGAACTCCATCACAACAGATTTATTTATCTTTAATGGGTTAGTTGATTCGCAGTTATTCATCTTCTGATCACTTTCTACTACCTTTGGCCAAATCTTCCTATCAGTCTGTTGGTTTCTGAGACAGAAAAAAAATCACACAAAAAAACTTCCCTCTTTTTTCTTTCAGAAGGAAGAGGTAATTTAGTGTTTCCTTCCAAGATGGATGATCTCATTAAGCAGAGTTTTTTCTAGCTCTTCCTTGTCAGGTGAGCAAGGACTCAGAGTGGGTGTCCGGCAACTCCTGTGACTTTGTGTCAACAAGACACATGATTTCACAATGCTCTTCAAGTGGGGGATGCAAAGATTTGTGGAGTTAGGTGCATCACAAACCCATACAGCCTGACTGTGTGGACTTGGGAGACACTCATTCATGGGATTTGCAGAGCCAAGATTTAAGAAGAGGAGATCGGTTTCAAGAACCAGCATTTCTAAAAGAGCGATGGTGGTTTGTACTGTAAAAAGTAAGAAGCCAAGCAGTGTCCATAATTCTTTGCCTTTTGTTTCTCATTACAGCCAGTTACACCTTCTGTGCATAAGACACATGACCACATCAAAAAGCTCATCAGACATTACCTCCATCACTACTGCTGTGTCATTGATGCTGCAATAGCAGCATCAGAGGAAAGCAGGTCCAGGACACAAATTGTCTTAATTCCTGTTTGGTTAGTCTTTTAAAATCTGCGGATAATGTCTGCCAGATATCCTAGGAAATATGGTAATTAACTAAAAATTATACAAATATGTGTGATTGAAATGAATATTTGCCAAATCCAGTATTTTTCACACACCTGCTCTTTCCCAGATATGAGATGTAGCAGTTGGCAGCAAAAGCAAGTAGAGAGAGGAAAAAGTCCTCCTGTGTAATAGAAAGAATGTCCATTAGCTAAATGGAAAAAAACAAGATGACAAAGGGGAAATAACAGACTAGAAAGTTCAAGAATCCAAATTGGTGTTAACAGTTCAATTTATCTTGCATAATATTACAGTAATTGGATTGTGTCTATCATCCTGCTGTTGTGACACACTTGGTTTGCTCTCTTTGTTCCTGACAGTTTCCCACAGAGACCACTGTTTGATGGAGATCAGTTTTGCAAACTCCAGCATCTCTATTTTCCTTGCTACCAGAGCTGAAATGCGTGGCAGGCTGCACTCACAACCTCGGAAGTCGTGAGACCTGGATGGCTGCTCTTCACTACAGCAACAACATGTATACAGACAAAAGAGAGTTCTCATATATTAATACTTTAAGACTAACTTATTGAAGCTATTAAGAATGTCAATGCATGTTTCTTTTCTTGGTGGTTAAGTCATCAGCAATGAAAGGTAAAGGAGTAATTTTCATCAGCCACAGAAGACTGAATATAGGTCATGGTGAGTTCAAAGACAAATAATTTAAGAATCAAAGCCTCAGTGGAATGCATCAGAGGTAATGCCGAGTAAATCACTGTGTCAGTATGACTGATTAAATATTAGCAAAAAATGTGAATTGATTTTAAAAAAGAAAAAGAAAAGCTTTGTATTTTATTATGCTATAAATATTTTTCCTGCCACGCTACCATTACATTTTCCATTCTGTTGTATTGACCTATGATAGAAGTATAATGTTTGCCTCAATAAGGTTAAGCATTTTAATTTAAAATCCATAAAGGTGAATCTCAACTAGAAACAATGCACAGCTAGACAACATTGTATAATACTAATTCAAAACACCATAGTTTTTTCACATAACTAGCAGAATAAATACTGCAATTCATCCTAAATCTCAAAAATAAGCACTGAATTTCATGTATTAATGTTCAAGGAAAATTGTCATATTTCCTGTATAACAAGAAAATATTCATTCTCAATGTCTTAATGTTACTGATCTGTTAAAAAAAATATAAGATTAAGGATGTGTCCTACAAACAGAAAATAGAAAATGTTGATATAGAATAAAACAAACAAACAAACACATCCCTTAACACATAATGCATGAAAATGCTGTGATATTTCTGTGGGATTTTATATTTTTCAAAATTCTATGATGTTCCTTCCAAGCATTAAAGCTCAGTAAAGTATAACTTTGAAAGTTACCAATTTAAATTGTAAACATACTGGGTTTTATTAGACACATTGTCTTGTGACAGCAGGGATAAAAAACAGTCTAAATTGTAACTAAGATAACAGCACTAGTTAGCACAGAAACTGGTTAAATGTGAAAATGGAATGACAAATATTAAAAAATTCTTTCAGGTAGGATTTACTTTATTTGCAAAATAAGATTTTTCTAAGCACTTCACTGACATACAAGCGAATGTAGAGAACTTCCACATTTCAGAGTTTAAAAGTGTATTGTAGAGAGTCAGGGATGAAAAGCCAACTTGCAGTTAGTTTAGAGTCCCCATGCCCAGATATGTTCCCCCCTGTTTTGGGAAGAGCAGGGATGTCTTGCCTTAAACTCAGTCTAGGATTTGAGCTAGAGCAGTAAGCAAAGCCAGGCTCACCACAAGTGGTTGTCCAACACCTGAGGAGTGTCACAGCTCTCGTGTGGCAGAAAGCAAAACAGAGTTATGTGGGGGCAAGGGAGGCCACATGACAAATTAGGGTCTGGGAACACCGTGATGAGAAAGTTGGGTATTATGACAAAATGAGAAAGTGCCTGTGTAGCTCTCCACTCCTCCCTGCTAACTGAAAGCAGATGGAAAGAAGGAAAAAAGGAGAGGAGAAAAGCAAGACAGCAGTGGACAGGTTTTGTTAGCTTTGCTAACTTTACATTTCAGACTCTCCAGGATGAAGACTGCTTCTTACCATGCATGCACAGCACCTACCTGCTATTGACTTGCTAAGACCAATGACTGTAGTAGTAGTAAAAATTCCTGGTTTTTCTTCTTAAAAGAAGAGGGGTTAGCCATTTATAAGTGATGACCTGTCCACTTAAACAAATTGCTTTTTCTTTACTTGCACCTTCATTACTCAGCTAAGCAAATAAGCCAAAAGGGATATTACCAGAAAACATCCTTCTGTGATGTTTACGAAATAAGATATTTATACAGATTCCTCCTGCACAAGAAGATATTTAGAGATCCAGAAATAGTAAGCTCATCAGCTACAGAAAGGAGCCATTTTACTGTCCAAGTAAATGTGGACTACTTTTGTTCTGCAGCTCTTGAACTGGTAAAGGCATCAAAATTCCTCTCACTCTGGATATCTCATGAGATTTCTCCAGCCTCAGGGCTGCAGAAACTCACTCTGTTCTTGAACGTGGAGGTGCACATTAAAAACATGAGCTGAACAGCAAGAGAACTGGAAAGCTTACCTAAACTGCTCTTGAAACTATTCTGTAACTCCCGCATCTCTATTTATGGTTTATTTATATGGGTTGACCCGACTGGTTACAGCAAGTAAAATGTCCTCTGGACATTCATTAATATACCCAAGCCGAACCATTAACCTGAGCTATTTGGGAAATACCTTGACAAACCAAACTTCCAAAGTCTAATTCAATATACAATATCATAGTAATAATAGATTCATAAATTTCACTAACACTTCACTCAGTATCAACCTATATCCACTATCTGAACACTCATGGAAAGGAAAGGTAACTACAGTACTAGTTTTTGTATGTTCCCATGATTATGCACATCTGTGAGATAGATTTTTCTCATATTTAAAATCAAATATGAAAGCAAATTTGATTTTCAAGCAAATTATGTTTATCTCATCATGTGATACTGAGGCACTTCTAAGAAGCATTTTTTTGTATCTGCTGGCTTAGGTCATATATGAAAATTACATAGTCCTTGCAATGTTTACATTATACATAAATCATATAACTATACCTTGCAATGATTTAACATTCTAGTGTAAGATTTTTTGGCATTAAAATACATAAATAAATAAAGTAAATAAATAAATTAAAATAAATAAAAATACACTTTGTTATAGTATTTCCATTGTGATTATTTCACCTTGAATAACTACGAATTCTTAACTCTTAGTTTAATTGTCCCTGCTAGTCCTCTAGAAGCCATAAATGGCATGCAGATATACTTCTTATAATCTAATATTTATTTTTCCCTGTGCTATATTTAATCTCAAGTTCATGGTTTTCCTTCTAATTTTCCTTTAAAACATAGCAGCATTTGATAGCTTTGTATCCTGGAAAAAAAATAAAACAAAGGAATATTTTTATCCAACCATAAAATGATGTCAGAAACCCAACAGGGACCAAACACCATGTTAGAACAAAAATAGTCCAGAGATACACTTTCAAAGTTGAGCACCTGCTGTAAAATAACCATCTGTGTTTAACTGTAATTTAATTATAGGTTCATTCCTTTTGTGTACTCTGGAAGGATCTCATCAGTCTTCCCCAGTTGGTCTGCAATCAACTTTTGGCATTTTGCAAAGGCAACAGACATGTTCTCTTAATAACACCTGCTAACCTCTTTCATTCCTGTTTCAGCAAAGGCCTTCTGGGATTAAACAATGATGTTTAGAAACAAAATAAAAAATCTTAATAAATCTGAAATAAAAACCTGCATTAGTGAATCACCTACCCTAAAAAGCCAATATTAATGGCTATCAAATATACCCTTTCCCTTTTCACAAAAGTAACCCAAGAATCACAAAGGTAAAATATTTTTTATTATTATTTTTGAGGGGGAAAAAAATCAGTATTCTCCAAAGATCTCCAAGCTGCTGTGGTAATCTCTATTAATTGAAAATTTCTGAACAATACCTCAAAGCAAAATAAAGCTCACAGACATTAATACTTGCTGAAACTAAGCCTGTCTACTAGAGCTTTATTGGAATTAAAGCAAAACAAAACATCAAAAAAACCCCCAAACAAACGCAAAATGAAACCCCACTAAAACCACCCAAACAGAAAGTTCTTATGGGTAGAAGATTCCCAAATTTCATCCTATTGTGGATGCTACCTGTGACCAATTCATTAGGCCATATGATTTAAATATTAATGCTCAAAGTTAGCTACCTATAAAAGCTCGAAGTCAGAAGATTTTTTTCTAAGGTTATTTAATTGAATATTTAAATAATAAATTACAAGATAAAAGGTT